CATACAAATTGATTGATGAATTCAATTGTCACACATTGGAAGAAGTATTCCTCAAACTATGTCAACAACACTATAAACAAATCAGAGACGACAGACACTCAAAACACCCGTCCCTTAGAGTGGTTGATACAGTTATGAAGCCAAAGAGAAGTTTACTGATCAATACGATGACTACAGGCGCTTATGAGGACAGTTATATTGAATTGACACGAATCATAGCTTTGTTTAAGAAAAACTACATCCATTTAAAACTCGTATTCATCGCATTAATTATGTTTTACATATTACCCGTAATTACAATATATGGCAGTAGTAAGGCATTTGGTGGCGTACCACTCCATATACCAATAGCTTTATATACCGGTGCCGATAGAGCCACTTTCGAGATGTCACAACAGTTTATACATTCAATTAACAAATCATTTTTAAGACCAATATATTATACGTCTAAAGAAAAGGCAATTGAGTCGGTAGTGGTCGGCAAAAACACGTTTGCACTCATTTACCCAAATAATTACTCGCAAAATATGAGGGCTCGACTGCCCGACCCTTTCAGTGTAGACGAACAGGTGCTCAATGATAGTACTATCCGTGAATATGCCGACCATTCAGATACTATAACCTCAGTGTATGTCAGGTATCTGTACTTCATTGACGGCTTAATGACATTTATGCGCAAAATTGGTACCGAAGAGGGTCTCAACCCAAAGACATTTACTCTGCCCATCGATTGGACTCAACCCATATTCAACGGGTCCTTCTATACGTCACACACATACCCGTCCACAGGAATCCTATTAATGATTATATATTTATTTCCAATGATTTTCTCAGCGTTTCTCATATTAAATGATTTGCGAAACAAATCACTGGAGCGCTCGTATGTGGCGGGAGTGAAGCCGTTTGAAGTGTTTATAGTGATCATGATTATTATGACTGCCTTGATATCACTTCAAGTGGTCGTTTCCATGATAGTTATGTATAATTTGTTTGATATCCCAATCGACAGCTCAATATTACAAGTGTTTATATTACTCCTATTGCACGGCATAGAGGGTGTCGGCACCGGACTATTCTTTTCACTACTTTTAAAGGACGAGGTTTATATGTTTGTATGTATTTTTCATATAATATAAATGCTTTAAAAATTGTATTAATTACTAATTAATATTACAGATAGTAATCGTAGGCATTGTATTACCGCTTTTGATCTGTTCGGGTGTCATTTGGCCCTCAGAAGCCATTCCTCTATTTTTTCGTATATTCACTGATTGGACACCAATTACTTTGCCATTAGAGTCGTTAAGATCTTTACTGTTCCGCAGGTTAACTATTGAGAGCACCCGGGTATTAATCGGGTTTATAGTATGCATTGTGTACAATGTAATGATTTTTGTAGCTAATATACTAATGGTTACCTATTTAAAGGATTTTGATATTTTTAATTTTATTCATTCAAAGTTTCATATCAAGATATGAATGATAATAGGGTGTGTATTACTTAGTAACCGGACTGCAGATAAATGTTTATCAAATTAAAACTATTTATTCAAATCAAATTATATTTTAAACATAAAGTAAGTAGTATTCAACTAATAATTTATATTATTCAAATGTAGTCAAAACACCTTTCCTCCCGATCTACCGGAGCCTCTTTAACAGGCATCTCATATGAGCCTTTCCATGCATTTTAACGATTGTTTTTAAGATATTATTTCACAAAATTTAAATTCAGTGACATTTTTAGGTGTTTCTGATCTCATAGACAGTCTAACTTAATATTATGTCCAGTGCTTTTCACTGGGACGGGCATGTGGTAGGTTTGGGGCATTCAGTTTTTTGGACACATTGGCAATTTCAATAGCATTACATTAGTTAAGTACATTTGGTTTACTAACCTTGTAAATTTGTTAAATATCATTTTTAAAGTTATATTTATGAATATTTTTTGAATGTCTACATGATGTTTAACAATCCTCATTAGTGACTATCCCTAACAATGCTTTTGTTTTCACGCACTATAAACAACCTAAATTATTTATGATCAAAAAAATTATCAATTTTGGACAACAGTTTTTATGAATTATAAAGTTTGATTGCTTATCATCCCTTTCCCTTATAATTGCAAACAATGTTATGGTATATCATTCATCTATCATATGATGGACTATAACTTAAACATTTGTTCAGAAGCGACAATCATATACAGCGCGCGCGACATAACAATTAAATTAGTCCGGTTACTAAGTAATACACACTTTATTATTAAGTTTATCATTGAAACCAATTATAACTGCACAACAGCAATAATTTTCTCGTTTAAATAAATAAGAAAAATGTAAAAATTTCATATTATTTTGTGATTTGTATTGAAACACTCTTAATTGACAAATTATAATAAGTTTAACATTTAATTGTTATCTAGCATTGTCAACTGTGCGAGATTTGTTAATTGTTAAGTATTAAATACAAAAATAAAGTAATCAATTTAAATGATTTCTACTCCCTTTCACTCATTTATCTGATATAAAAAATAAATTATTGAAAAAACATCTAAAATAAAGTAATCAAATTTATTAACTGTTTTATTGGTAGATATAACAAGCATTTAAAACTAAGGTTTATTTAAAAGTTTTAAATTAAAATAGACTTTATTTGAGTAACTTATATAATCTATCAGTTGATAGTCTATGCTTAAAGTAAAAGTCAATCTCAACATGTATTTAATGAAATTGTATTCATTGCTAATACTGTTGGCGGCTGTCCTACACATAAGCCCAGTGGTCGGTGGAGATGACCTGAAATACACGGTTTGTGACCAAAGATCATTCAAAATAGATTGGGCCACAAAACTGGTCAACACTTCGACGGCATATATCTTCGCAAACGATCTCTTCGTGAAACTGCAGCTCATAAATGACTATTCAGTCATTGAGTCGGTTAACAGACTCAGTGTCTGGAGCGACAAAATCAAAGCACCCATCGATATGGTAGTGAACCAACAGTTCTCCACTGAAATGCAACTAATCAACTGCAGGGATGGCATCTCATGGACTGTTGACTATAGTACCAACAAATACATTATGTCGGAAAAGACAACTCTGTGTCCGCCAGTCTTTGAGTATCTTTTAGGCAAAAAGGATGTCTCGCATATATTGTTAACCAATTATTATATGTCCGACTCGAAGGACAAGGAGCTCACCATTAAAGCCGGTTCGAGCACCTATTTGTTAAGGTCAAAGGGAAAGGACTCCCATTCCTTGCGACTGGTGGAGAACTGGGAGGACCCTGAGCTCAAAGTGTCGGAACCATTTACCGCATTGAACGGCGCGAAGATAAGGGCCGGTTTGATACACGACATGCATTGGTATCTGTTTGCCGACCGGTATTACTGTAAAGTGGCGCTCAATGACCGGACATACAGTGAATGCAGACCGCAATCAATCAATAAGTGGATCACAGACTGCGAGGTAAGGGTCGACCCCTTAGGATCCGCGACAAACACAGACGTATCGGTTCTGGCGGTGGTCTTAGTGGTGATCATAGCGATGGCGGTTCTCATTATCATTATATTCGGGCTTTTGATTTACAAAGAAGTGTCCAAAAACTCCTCCAACACTAACACAACCACGAGTTCAACAAATTAAACACATCAGACATGCCTCTCATTTCAAATACTTGTATATTATTTTAAAATTGTAATATTTTTGTTGTCTTATATTTTGTATTTAAGATTTATAAATGAAAATATTTGATTTTAGATTTTGAGTTTATTAAATAAAATTATAAATATAAAATAGCCGGTGGTTTACTTGATTTTGAATGAAAGTGGATTGCAATATACTGAGGCCGTGTCCTTTTAATCTCAATAAACTGCTTCAATCGCATACTTTTGCCGCAATTCTTGTCATATATGCGGGAATTGTCGCCAAATATGTTTCCATAACTCATTACATCTGAATAGAAATCATTGACTTTAAACGCAATCATTTTGCCTTTAAGTTGTGTGATTAGGATTAAATCAATAATATAATCCAAACAAATGCTCTCATTTGCAAAACCAATATTTAAACGATATGAATGTCCAGATTTAATATAATCATTGAATATTGCCATTATAATAATCTTTTTGTGTTCCCAATCCTCGTAATTTCCAAAATGTATAACTATTTTCTTGAGACTCCAAGCGCTCAAAAATTTTGAATATGAATTTAAAGCTTTTTGATAACAAGTGACACAATTTGGTTCACAACTGGTATCACATATCACTCTCAGACCTGTGATATAGAGTTGTATAAGATTTGGAAAATTTATAAGAAACACATGAAGTGAATGGACCCCTAAATGGATGGATCCCATGAGAGACAACTTTCTGAGATTACGATTTGTGTAATCAGTTGAACACAATTTACGGAAATGATTGCTCTTTAACTGAATTTGTAATTCTTGTAACCTTTCCAACCAATCAATTGCTTTAATTGATGTTAAGTGATCACAAGAAATGCAAAAAATTGCAAGCAATGGACATCTTTGGCAAATCATATCAAATACTTGTTGACAATTATCTTTATCATTGACTGTTATATAGAGATGAACTAATTGCGAACCAATTTGACACAAGATTTGATTAATTTTGGCGTTTGTTAAAACTGCATTCATATCATTAGTGAATTTAAAAGCATTAATACTTTTTGGTAAATTGAGGACAATTTGTGGACTTATTTGGGGACAATCGTGAAACACCACTGACTTTAGTGCTGATGACATTAAAAGTCTTGTTTTGGCAATACTTTCCAATGAAATATGGTGTAGGTTGTACATATGAAGCTCATACACATTATATAATAATGTCTCAATTGTCTTAATTTCCTCATCAAAATAAACTGAACGATAATTGAGGCAATTCTCTAATATTAGCCAGATTTTAATTTTTGGGAATATGTCAATAATCCTCTCAAATAATTGTTTGTCGACGCAAATAGCCTTTAAGGTAACTTTTTTCAAATGTTGTAACTTTGTTAAAAATGCGTAATTTAATTGTGTGTTTGAATTTTGACGTTCACTGGGATTTAAGTTAATAATTATATCAAACGGCTTTCCTTCTATGACATTCATTTTAACCCCTTTTGTAGTCAACGCTAGAGTTAAGCTCTCAATGGATGATAATTGTTTGTCGACAATACTTTTGAATTGTTTTGATACACGACTTAATGTGCATTTCTCTTGTAGTGATAACTTTGATATAATATTCTCTAAAATAAAGTCATTCAAAGTTCTTGGTTTCTCTGTGAACACCATTTTGGCAAATATTATTGATTTCTTCAATCAAATGATTTGTTTGTATTTTTCAATTTAAGTCTTTATTGAATGATCGTGATTATTATAACACAGTACAAATAATATTTATATATCAAATACTCCAATAAATATTAAAATATATCTGAGAAAGCAAAACAAATTAAGGCTCGCTCGCAAGAATGCTTTAATTTTATATCTCAATATTGCTTACATGCCAATTTGAAATATAAAATTAAGCATTTTTGTGAGCCCCAATTTGTATTGCTTTCTCAGATATGTAAAGTTTTACATTATAAATGAAATAAATAGACAATCTTATTTATAACATTAATTTATTTACAAAATTTCATTTCAATTGTCAATGTTCTTCATTCTCCGACAGAATCCATGATTATATCGATTATATCATTGTTTATCATATCTTCATAATCTTCAAAATGGACGTCTGGTATGAAGTGTTCAATGATTACATTTTCATCACAATCTGTGTCCGAATCGGAATCGTTGGAACTATTCATGAGTTCAGCAGATAATCCATTCAAACGAATCCTTATTTGATTTTCAAGTCCATTGGAATTCATACGATTGGGAACTGCAGTCCTCTCATAGACTCCTTCTGACCATATGTTATGAATTATATATTCATAGTTCTGTCGACAAATTGGACATCGATTATGAGTTTGAGACCACTGTTGAAGACATTCAAAGCAAAATTCATGAAGACATGGATCCGTTATGGATTTGTTGGACATATCACACAAACAAATGGGACAACTCTTGACTTCATTGTCCGCATTCGTGTTTCCATTACTTATTTCATCTTTTGCTTGATTTTTACAAATATCTCCCATTTTCTTCTGTTTCTTCTTTTTGGTTATTATGAGACAATTATTTTTAATAATATCTTCGGAGTATTTTGGATCCAATTTTTAAAAAATAATATCTTCTCAATGAGAAGTTCTCAAATAATAATATCCAATGAGTTATCGTTTGAACGTTATAGTCGTTTAAATTATACCACAATTTAACAAAAGGTTTCTTGAAAATCACTTTTATAGGCACTTAAGTGGGTCACCCGTGTCTTATCTAGGTCATCAAAGGGTTACTCACGTGGGAATTGACCTCATTTTCGTAAATGCCTCAGGTTATAATTAAATATAGCCCCATACATATTACCGTATCTGGTACTAAATGTTACCGGTTATTGTTTTATCTGCATTTGCATCAAACTATAATAAATTATTTTTATGGATTTGATTGCTTTTATTTTTTGACAAAAATGCATACAGGTATATACATTGTGATTTAAATGATTTAAATGCATTACATTATCCTATAAAATATTTCAACAACAAAAATTAGCGTCAGACTATTTATAAATATTGGGTAATATAAACTTTTTAAAATAAACATATAGTATAATTATATTATGTAATACTATTGTACTATAGTACTATACTATACTATTGTACTATACTATTGTACTATACTATTGTACTATACTATTGTACTACTATACTATAGTATTATCCTCTCATTTTTAATACTATACATAAAATCAATTTCTAAAAATACTATACAATTAATTATATTAATGAATTTAAACATAATATTTGAAAGCTTATTGCAATGTAACAAATAGTGAAACAAATAACAGTTTATTTATAGAAAATAAATACTCAATTTTCAATACTTTGTAAATAATATTTATATTATAAATAAAGTGATGAACAAAAGTGTTGAACAAAAGGAGCGATTGAGACATGACTTCAAACGAAGTGAATGAATGAAAGTGAACTTCAATTTACCATTTCTTAGTGACCCATAAAACCGATTAATGATAGAAACAATGACATTGCAATGCCCTTCATAATGACCCGGCACATCCTTTCACTTGAAATAATCAATTATGAATAGTTCAGTGTTACGAAAGGTGTTTCAAAATAACTTATTTAATGCTGGATATCATGGACTCTATTGACGGTGAAAGTTGAATGAATTAAAAGTATCTTAAACTTTGTAAATGAGGCGTGAATTTGAATGTCAACAACAATTGACTTTCAATACAAATTAAAATAAATGATTTCAATGAATGACTGTTTGGGAGTGAAATGTTCATCAAATCATTTCGTGCTCTCAAATGAACTGATGTTTGAGTGCATTATAAGTGCTTAATGTTTGAGATCTTTGCAGCGATTCTTTAAAGTTTAAACTCTATTTAAACACAAAGCAATTGATTTTTGAACTTATATTTTGCACTGAATGTCAATTTCACTTTCGGTATTACAGTATAATTATGGTTATAATATTAATATTTCTATGAATAACTTTTCTAAAATCATTCATCCAATAAGTTTAATATTACGGAGTAACCAATTTAAATATACTGAATGTAAACAGTAGTTCAGTAATTGAAGGACAGGTATAATAATTTTGGGCGAAAATCTTGAACTTAATACTTTGAAATGTATACGTTTAAATGACCAAGCATTACTAACTTGTAAATCTATCATAAAAATATGAATGAATTTAAATAAAAATTAATTTTGCTGTTGTTGAATATATTACAGAGTAGATAATTAACAGATTTAGATAAGATAAAGTTAGTTTAATTTTGTATAATAAGTCAATATATACAGATACTTACGTAAAACAACCTTACTGGTAAATGAAAAACCTAATAAAATAAGATTTAAAACAATATAATTAGCTTTTCTATAAAATATTAATGAATTTTCCATTATAATAAACAAATTTATTATAAATAATTATAAAATTTATTTGTTTACTTTTGTAAATTATAAATGGCGTATATTCCCAAAAATTTCCAGATTTATTTTTTTCAATTAATAGTAACGCAAAGAATAGGAATATTTTTTTTAAAACAAAATGAAATCAAAATTGATTTATGAATTTTACATATAAATGACATTATAATTATAGTTTGTATATAAATTTATTGGTATGGAAAGTGTAAATTAAATTAAAATGTTGACTTTAAAAAATCAAGGATAAATAAAAATACAATTTCGTGCATCTTATCCATTAAGCTATAAGTAAATAACACTTTAAAACGAAAACTTCAAACAATTCTGTGGTTACATTAAATGATAAACAAATGATTTGCTATTTAAAATTTTCGGACGTAATATTAAAGATACAAACTTTTCCATTACATAAAACAATGTGTTTTGTTGAGTACAATAAAATATTATTGAACTCAACTTGGTATATATAGTACATACCCTTATAAAAATAAGTAATTAGTGACCAATTTATAAATTGATGGGAGGGTTACCTATAAAAGGAGATGAAGTTTTGATTTTTAAAAATAATCCATTTTCTACTCTATTCCTAAAATAAGTGGATAATAGTTGCAATAATTTTAGCAAAGTTTATTTCATTTACTATTTTACTTTTTGAACACAATTGGAGAGTAAGATAGTGTCATATTTGTGAATAAGATGTCCAAAACAGTTTCATTACCAAAGATAATGAGCGAGGATATAGTGATCAGTGGAATGAGTGGTCGGTTCCCTGAGTCTGATTCCACCGATGAATTCGCACACAATCTGTACAATGGAGTCGATATGATTACGGATGACAACCGTCGATGGCCTACAGGTCTGTGGTTTATCTTTAAAATAGTATTAATAACTTAATAACTATACTTTAAAGTGAGAATAAAATTACAGTATAATTAATTAATTAATTTAAAAAGTATTAGCTTTCTAGTTTTTTCTAAAAGCTATTAACTCAAGTCATCAACAGCATAAAAATGATTATTAATACAGTATGTTAGATTTATAAAAGCTGTATTAAAAATATGTAAATCACAATTTGAATTTTTTAAAATTAATTTTTATTTAACAGTAAATTAAGAACTTGTTATTTACTTTTATACTATTTTTATTGACTTAAACATATTGACGGAAATTATTTTATAGATAATATACAGTAAATTGAATAATCAATGTTAATAATTTGTAGATTTGTATGCAATGAACAATCGTATGGGAAAAGTGAAAGAAGTGGACAAATTTGATGGAAACTTCTTCGGCATAATGCCCACAATGGGTGATACTATAGACCCCCACTCCAGGATCCTATTGGAGACCACATATGAAGCTATCATTGATGCGGGTATTTATTGATATAATATAATATAAACGATAAGTTATTATAATGAGACTTATTGTATGGATAGGTATAAACCCGCAAACCCTCCGGGGGTCGCAAACGGGTGTATATATCGGTTACTCGACGTTCGGAATGCCGGACGGAATCCCAGAGGAAGTACAGCCCGACTCCCAGAACTCGATGACAGAGACCCTGCTATGGGTTCCGGGAAACTCGAAGTGTCTTTACGCCAACAGAATATCGTTTGTCTTTGACTTCAAGGGGCCCTCAATGGTGACGGACACGGCCTGTTCATCCAGTTTAGTGGCATTCAATCTGGCCATCAATGACTTGCGTCTCGGTATACAAACACTGTTCAGACATTTGAAGACAATTTCATTCATTCATTAATCCATTGTTTGCTTTGTATTGAAAGGTAAGTGCGATAATGCAATAGTAGGCGGATCTCAGATCAATCTGCAGCCCTTCACAAACCATATCTTCCAAACCACTCGACTCAACAGTTTTGACGGCATTCCCAAAGTATGGGACGAATCGGCCGATGGGTTCGTGAGGGGAGAGACCGTCGCCTGTCTTTTCCTTCAGCGCAAAGACAATGCAAAACGCATTTACGCCACAGTTTTGAACAGTGGAGTCAACATCGATGGCAACAAAACTATGGGAATGTTTTTCCCCTCTTCTGAAGGACAGGAAGAGCTGATGATTAAGACATACAAAGAGGCGAATGTGGATCCGCTTGAAGTCAACTATTTTGAAGCCCACGCCACGGGAACTAAAGTATTATTATTACTATTATCGCTATACTAGCCATACATTTGTCACTCAAATACTAATCACTGTTTCATTGACTGTGTGTTAGGCGGGAGACCCACAGGAAGCCAAAGCTATTTATAACTCTTACTGCAAACTACCGAACCGTTTGGGAACTCTACCCATCGGTCTCCTCAAGAGTAATATAGGACACACTGAGGGCGCCTCTGGTGTCTGTTCAGTGGCCAAAGTTATGATTGCTTTTGAAAATGAATGCATTCCGAGGAATCTTCATCTCAAGAAAATCAAGTCCACGATCGCAGACATGTGTCCGCCACTGGTTCCCGTCACTGAGAACTTGAAATATACTCCGGGTATGTATGGCCTCATAAATATTGTCCAATAATTGTTGAATAATTGAAAACTAATTCTTGAATTTAATGATTTAGGTATCGCTGGAGTGAACAACTTTGGAGTGGGAGGTGTGAACGCACACACTTTGCTTGAACCCAACTATAAGCTGACCGATGCGGACAGCCTTAAGATTGCCGACACTATCCCCAGAATTGTCAACATTTGCAGCCGAACTCAAGAATCGCTGAACAAAATGTTTGACTTCATTGAACAAAACCCGCACAAAATTACTCGTGATTTTCTGGCACTGATTGCCGATACCATGAAAACTAAGCCCTCATTAAATTCCGCTGGATTTCCATATAGAGGTGTGATTCTTAGTACATGTTTATTGCATTATTTCTTAGTGTTTATTAATTATTTACGGTAATTAATATATTGAATGTTAGGCTCATTGATTATAAAGAAAATGATGTCTGCAGACAACCAATTAGAGTACAAATATAGCAGACAATCGGCATTGAATATGGAGAAGAATGTGAGACCACTTTGGTTCCTATTCCCCGGTCTGGGAGGACAGTGGGTTGGTATGGCTAAGGCTTTGATGCCAATCAAGATATTCGCCGATAAGATTGAAGAATGCCATGAAATACTCAAATGCTTTGGCATTGATTTAAAACACCTCTTATTATCTGACGATAAGAAGTCCATGTCGTCGATGACCAACAAATTCTGTGCGACAACTGCTCTCGAAATAGCACTCTTTGATGTCATGAAAGCACTCGACATAATACCCGACGGTATTATCGGCCACTCGTTTGGAGAGATAGGCTGTGCTTACGCTGACGGCTGTCTCACCACAAAAGAAGCCCTTTTTATTACATACATCAGGGGAGCCGTCACTGAAAATGACAAGAAAATACCGAAAGGACTGATGGCTGTCGTCGCCATGTCGTGGACTGAGGCTAAGAAAATATGTCCCAAAAACGTGAGCGTTGTCTGCAATAACTCGAAGGAGACGATTGTCTTTTCAGGTATTGATTGGTTGGATGTGTTGCGAAATATCTGAAAATCTATTTAAAACTCAGGTCTCTATAAAGAAATGAAAGAATTGGTTGATTCTCTCAAAAAGAAAGGTCTGTTTGTACGCGAACTCGACAGTCAAGACATCCCATATCACAGCCAATACCTGCAGTCGTCGGCTAAGAAGATGACGGACGAGATTAAGAAATATGTACCTAATCCTCGACTTCGGTCTAAGAAGTGGATCTCAACAGCGATTCTGGAATCAGATGTGAAGGAAGAGCTGAGATATGCTTCGGCCGAGTATTTCGTCCATAACCTCATTAGTCCCGTCTATTTCCACAACAAAATACATCAAATCCCAGACAACGCTATTGTGGTTGAGATCGGACCTCACGCTCTGTTCGCCAAAATCATATCCCAGTCCTTGGGGTCGTCCACTTATCTGTCATTAATTAAAAAGGATTCAAATGACACTAATTTAGACAACTTCTTAGGATCCATAGCAAAGCTGTATGAATTAGGCCTAAACCCTTCCATCGAGGAACTATACCCCAAAGTCCAATGGCCTGTTGCTAGAAGTACTCAATCCGTCAGTTCACTGATGCGTTGGGACCACGAGAAGAGCTATTTTGTCCGCAAATATCCGGACTTTCACTTCAAAGGCACGGCCGCCGACATGACTGAGACAATCAATCTCTCGCGTCAGTTCAAAGTGTTTCTCCCGGATCACCGCATCGACGGTAATATACTGTTCCCGGCGACCGGGTATCTGATGCTCGCGTGGAGACATTTGGCTGCTATGAAGGGTCGCGTCTGGAATCAAATACCCGTCGTCTTCGAAGACATACAGTTCCGGCGACCGGTATTTCTTTCCGATACTGATGTCACCCGACTTAAGGTGAAACTTTTTGAACAAACAGGTAATTAATATCAGGGAATCAATTATAAAATTCATTAAAATTTATTTTAACTATATTTTAGGCGACTTTCTTATAATGGAAAATAACAACACCTGTTGTTTGGGTAAAATTCATTGTCCCGATGAAGAGTTTCTATGCAATCAAGACATTGCTCACGAGTTAAGCAACGATATGTCCTTTGAAAAAGAGATAACACTTACAACTAATGATATTTATAAAGACTTGAGAGCAGTTGGTTATGATTACGGACCTAAATTTAGAGGTCTTAAGCACATTAAGACTGATAACTTTGATACAATCAGAGGGAGTGTTGAATGGGACGGAAATTGGATTACATTTATGGACACATTATTTCAGACGATGGCAGTGGCCATGCCTTTCAGACGACTTATGGTCCCAGTTATGGTTAAGCGTCTGAAATGTGATCCCAAAGTATTATATGAATCGGTAATTCATAACAAAGTGGTGATCAATGAAGATAAGGCTTTTGACGAGGAAAAGGCTATCAATGATGTGGTCAATAGAGAGCCTAAAAGCGAAGACTTTGATAAAGATCTCGAAAACATACTTGAATTGGATAACAATAAATACTTGGAAGGAGTGATTGGCAGTCGCTTTCATGTCTATAAATCCATTCTTCCATTTCATGTCGATATGAAGTCACGAATGATTGTTACAAATGGTGTAGAGATTGAAGATCTGATGGCTCTTCCCATCCCTCGTAAAACTAATGTCCAGGACTTGAAGCTAGAATCCTATCAATTCATTGCTAATGTAAACGAGAATTGCATGGAAGAGACGGATAGAGAATATCTCTTTGACTACTTAAAGGTTTGCTTGAATATTGAAAATTAACTGCAATTTAATTATACGTAATTTACAATTGTTTTATTTTGAAGGTATGTTCAAATGTTGCACAGAAAGCACTGGAAGTCTTGGATATTAAAGGAAAGGTGAATGAAAACAGTACAAAACTTTCATCTGAAGAGATTGAAAGTCGCTTGAAAGACATCAAGGATAATGAGATAATGCTTAAGACATTAGACAAACTGCTGAAGTCATTGAACGAAGAAAATCACAATTTTGATAAGATGTCGATCACCAAAATGCTAACTGACCTCCAGATGCAACCAGAGTTTGATATGAGTTTAGATGTAATAAATGAGGTCTCGAAGAACGAGCATTTGATTCGCTCTCTTCTCGATATCGTCAGCGAGAATAATGTCCCCAAAAAAGAGATCAAAGTTTTGGAAATTAATTTAACAAATAGTTTGATGGCTAAAGAAGTGGACAATCATTTGGCCACTTCTCATATCTATCCAATTGATGTCAACTATACTATTGCTGTTAAATCTACTGAAGGCATAAAAGACGACTATAAGAACAAGTCATTCAAACTGATTGAATGGAATCATAAGACATCTTCATTTCCATCAGACATTTCACAAACAGATCTCATTGTTATGAATGACAGCACAGACTTAAGAGATGTAGAGCTCGACCTTTATTTACAAGAAGTTTACGACAACATCATAAGCAAAGGGTTTTTGTTATCTGTCTTCAGATACAGAAATACAGCGCCAGAACTCGCTTTGAATGCAATGAATGGACACAAGAATCTAGAGAACCATGAGTTAGAGAAACGTATCTTTGATTTCATGACCAAAGCTAAGAAAATTGGTTTCCAAGAGATCGGACAAAAGTGTGATTCAATTGGATCTCTTGCGGTGTTGTTCAGAAAAGTGGACTTTAAACCACTTTTGCCGCTTAAAGACAATATAATTGACATTAACATGAATTGCATGAAATGGTTGGATTGCCTTAAGGAGAAGATGTGTGAAAACAAAACTGATGACAATATATGGCTCATCGCTAATGATTCCGCAATCAATGGCATCATTGGTCTCATTAATTGTCTTCGTTTAGAGCCGGGAGGGGAGAGAATCCGCTGTATATTTGACTGCAATCTCATCAAACTTGCCGTTGATTTCACGACAAAACCATTGTCTGATATATTAACAAATGATTTGGCGATAAATGTGTTGAGAAACGGAAAGATCGGAACCTATCGACACTTAACTCTATCTAAAAATCATGACAAAATCAAAACCAATGAATACTTCTTAAATGTGGGTCAACACAGAGACATATCTAACCTTCAATGGTATGACTCGAAGAATATAATTCCCACCAAAGAATTCTATGACTTATGTAATGAACGCAAACATAAGATTAGTTGTCAGGTCTATAGCTCTGGACTTAATTTTAGGGATGTTATGCTCGCCACAGGTATTCAATGCTTGTGATAATTGTTTTTAATTAAATATTTAATTATAATTTGTTTGCATCTTTAGGTCGCCTAATGTCAGGTCCCGAGAGTTTGTTCACAGATTGTGTTTTGGGGTTTGAATTCGCGGGCCGTCGAGCGGACACTGGAGAGCGAGTCTGTGGTTTCGATATGAGTCGATGTTTCGCCACATCTATTGATGCCAACGAAGATCTCATAACCAAAATACCAGAAAACTGGTCAATGGATGACGTGATTACCATTTTGAGTACTTATAGCACTGTATGGTATGGACTCATAGAAAGGGCACAACTTAGGAAATGTAATGAATTATTAGTTAAACTATTCAAAAAAACTTAATTAACAAATATTTAATTCTATAGACGAGAGTGTATTAATACATTCGGGAGCTGGAGGTGTAGGACAGGCAGCAATTAAAGTGTGTCAGAACTACAATTGCGATATCTTTGTGACGGTTGGCACTGAAGATAAGAAACAGTTTTTGATGACTGAATACAATATCCCAGAGAACAGAATATTCAGTTCAAGAGATATTCAGTTTAAGTACAAAATTAAATCACTGACTAATGGAAAGGGAGTCGATTTGGTGCTCAACTCACTGAGCGGTGAAAAACTTGAGGCCAGTTATGAATGCGTTGCGGATTGCGGTCGGTTTGTAGAGATCGGCAAATATGACCTCCAAATGAACAAACAGTTGGGAATGTTTTCATTCCTCAGAGATATCTCTTTCATCGGAGTATCTTTGAGGCCAGTTATGAATGCGTTGCGGATTGCGGTCGGTTTGTAGAGATCGGCAAATATGACCTCCAAATGAACAAACAGTTGGGAATGTTTTCATTCCTCAGAGATATCTCTTTCATCGGAGTATCAGTCGATAGGAAACTATATTTAACGCAAGGATTTGCTCAGAAGTTCTTCGATTGGATGCACGAGAACTGTAACAACGGAATGATTAAACCAATCAATAGGACTGTCTTTAAGGCCGAGGAGGCGGAAAAGGCTTTCCGTTATATGACAACCGGTAAACATATGGGAAAAATAGTTATTAAGCTTAGAGATGAAGAAAGTGATAGAAAAGCGATAAACAAAATGAATCCGGCGATTGAAATGATGGCAACGACTAAAACATACTTCAATCCAAATAAGGTTTATATAATAACCGGCGGTTTGGGAGGCTTTGGCCTCGAGTTAGTCCATTGGATGATGTTCTTAGGCGCCCGACAATTTGTGTTGACCTCAAGATTTGGTGTCAAAACTGATTACCAGAAATATGTTTTGAGTCGAATCGAGTCTTTGAAACAAAAATTTAAAATGTTTTCAACAAAAATCATTGTCTCGACACACGATTCAAATACAATAAACGGATCAAAATTGCTGTTAAATGAGGCGGAAATGATGGGATCAATTGGTGGTGTCTTTCATTTGGCTCTCGTTCTCAACGATTCACTTCTCGAACGGCAAACTATCGATAAGTTTTGCCAAACTGTGGACTCAAAGACCAAAACGTTTGAGAATTTGGATCAAATAAGTCGAGAATTGAACCTAAATTTGGATTACTTTGTGGTGTTTTCATCGGTGAGTTGTGGTAAAGGAAACGCCGGACAATCCAACTATGGTTTCGCTAACTCTGTCTGCGAACACATCTGTGAGGCCAGACGTAGGGATGGGTTACACGGTTTGGCCATTCAATGGGGACCTATCGGTGACGTCGGTGTTATAGCCGACTCTGAAATGAGTTCATTGTCTGGAATTGTGAAACAGAGAATAAACTCATGTCTCGATGTTTTGGATAAATTGCTTCAATCGCGTCATTCAGTGGTTTCATGTGTTGTAAGTATTGCTAGACTTAAATTAATTGCAAAATTTATATTTTATAAATTATTTTCCATTTATAGGTGAGGGCCAAGAGAGTGACTCAGGAGGGGTCGCGTGAAGCAAAAATTGTGGGCCAAGTGTGGCAGGCATTAGGTATAGACCCCAAGACAACACCCGATCACTTAACTCTTGGAGAGATAGGGATGGAGTCGATGTTTGCTGTAGAGTTACAGCAGGGACTGGAAAGGGATTACGGCATTAAGCTGACTATGAATGACATAAAATCCATTACAGTTAAGCACATAAAGGACTTTGAATCGGGAAAAGTGGAGGAATTCAAGAAATTCACTGAAGAAATACGTGTTGCGAGAGAGAAGTTGAGTAAAATTAAGTTCATTATACCCTCCGATTCCTATACAACACTCAACAGCAGAAAGACTGGAAATCCGGTCTATTTCTTGCCGCCACTCGAAGGCATATTTGCCTCAATGGAAGTGTTGGCCGAACAGTTGGATCGACCGGTGATTGGCCTCAACTGGACTAAAGATATGGAGAAATTGGGTTCAATTAAGGAAATCAGTAATTATTACACAGATTTGTTGAAAGTGTTGCACCCGAACGGCAACTACGATATTGTGGGACACTTTTATGGGGCACTCATAGTCACCAAAATGCTTGAGAAGGCGCCCATAAGAAGAGCGGTAATTATTGACGTGATGTCCGACATTAATCTGGACGAAGAGATGACAAACGACGAGAATATCATTGAAATGATAACGACATTCATTTGCAAAGATCTGCCGAAAGCTATTAATGAGAAATTGATGCGAGAAATCAAACTCAAACACGACGTGAACGGAAAGCTCAGTAAATTGAGTGCAGAGGTCAAGGAGTTTGTGGGCAAAGGGTTTGTGGGCCGAGACTTGGATGACATACTCAACAATTCGTTCAAAAGGGCCAAACTATTCAGCGCTTATCGACTAAATATGAAGAATAAAGTCAAACAAATGAAGTTAAATGTCGGCAAAAAGTATTTAGAAATGAGTGGAAAACTTCTGATCATTAAACCCACGATTGATGACAATAATAACGATAATAAGAGCGCTCTTATGTCTGACCGCATCCGGGATTCATACTTCTTGCCTGAGAAGGTATCTTAAGATTATTAAATTAAATTATGTTAAATTAATTTATGTTAATAATATCTAATTATTATTTTTAGGGATTGGAAGGAAAACTAAATTTTGAGACAATTAACACAAATTCTGATGCCTTTTCAAATGTGGTGTTCAATCAAATCGCTGGCTCTTTGAATAAGTTTTTCCACAATAATTGACGGTTTATTTGTTTTTATTACATTTTACAAAACAGGTTTTACTCATTTTTATTGTATTTCTATTACTTTATTTATATCAAATAAAAATCATGAACAACAAACAACTTTGTAAGACTGTTTCAATCAAAATCGTAGTTTTATAATAATAATGTTAATATCAGTTTACCGGTAATAATAATGCTAATAAACATTACTGCTATTTAATCAAAAATAATTAGATTTTTATTAGAAAATAATGAATCAATTAGAAATAATTATAATAAATACACTTTATTTATGAGAAGAATGAGACGTCGTGGTTGAGTTGATTGATCTCATCGGCCAACGATTTGAAATCACTTTCCACGACTGATAGGGCGGGTACGGCGGAAACGGGAACATTGGGTTCAGGTATTGGTTCAAACTGCATGTCCTCAAAACCCTTGAACTTCTTGGCTTTGCTGGCAAACACTTTTTTACTCCTACTGGCCAACGGTTTGACCACTTTTTGTTTGGAAAGTTGTGTTGTCTTTATTTCTTTAACGACTGGTTTTGCTGAGAAATTCCTGGTGGGCTTCACTACGGGTTTGGGTATACCTTTGGTCACCACTTGCGGCAAATTGACTGACGAGTTGATGGACGTGTTGTCAGACGAGGAATATGTCATCTCTTCGATGTCGGACTCGAACTCAAATTTTTCATTAGGTTTCGCCTTTGTCTCAGTCTGTGGCCTCACATTTGGTATTAAAATACATATTAAGAAAACTATTGAATATAAGAAATCCATGAAAACTGTTATTTGATGTGGGGTTTAGTAAAATACGAATAAACAATAATTAATTAAATGCATAAATTATTTAATAAATGGCAACTGTTTGAGCAGTATCTTAATTAATAAATTACTGCTAAATGTGGCGAAATGTAACATAATATACAGCTATCATATAAATTACATTTAATGAAACGCAACTACACTGAAATTTCACAAATAATTAGCATTATAAATTACAAGTTTTATTAATTTGATTTTTAAATTTTGTTTACAATGACATCAATTTGGGGAATATTTTACGAAAATGATTACAATGCAATTGTTGTCAAGCATATTGTTTTAGATTGAGACTAATTATATGCATTTTCAGTGCCAATGATATCAATTGAAAACCACATGTGAATGGCTTGGAATGGGTTCGTGTTGTGCCACCAATCATAACAGTCAAAGTGATGCCAACCAAACACACTCATCTCAAGCACCGGCGTCTACTAATGCTTATGTCAAACCGGGAAATGGATCTCAATGGATGCCATTAGCTATCAATCTACGTAAGCCCTCCAGTCCCTCGCAAATGGACACGGATGAGATAACCCTTATATACGATATCCCGTCCCAAAAGTTTAAGACAAAAGAGCAGATCATGAAAGCCCACGGATATGAGCTCATAGAGATGATAGCACAGGGAGGCTTCGCTGACATTTATAAGGCTAGGAGACTGAGTGACAGACAGATCATCGCCTGTAAAGTACTTAATCTGAGTCAATGGTCTGTGGATATAAAGATGGAGTTGTTTGTAATGGAGAGGACAAGACATCCAAATATCATTAGACTCTTTGAGCACTATATGGTCCGCACGAAGAAGTATTCATTGGTCTACATATGGATGCAATTCGCGCCGTTAGGCTCGTTGTCAAAGTATATACGCGAAGCACCGGACCCTTTGACCGAAGAGTTAGCTCAGCCAATGTTCGCGCAAATGGTTGCCGGTCTAAGACATATGCATTTAAAAGGCTTTGCGCACCGGGACCTTAAAATGGGTAATATATTACTGGACGAGCGGTTAAATGTCATGATCTCTGACTTTGGCTTGAGTTGTATCGCTTACCGAGAGTCCAGAGGCGGGACAGTCATGTCAAGCACCTACTGTGGAACTGTTCTTTATATGAGCCCTCAGGTTCTTCAAAACCGGAACGGTAGTAGACAACCATACAATCCATTTGTCGCAGATTTGTGGTCGTTGGGCGTAATTCTCTACCTAATCCTCAATAAGGCCTATCCGTTCAGTGATGACAACGGTTTGGAAATAATGTTTAACAATCAGATGAACTCAAACTGGATATTCTCGCGATTTGCCAAAAGCGAACCGTCCACTCAATTAATGGATTTATTAAAGCAACTCTTAGAGCCTACATGTGATAAACGCATTTCTCTCACACAGTTAACTAGTCATCCCTGGGTTAGAGATCACATTAAAGATATTCCTATTTAGCGATCAATGATTAGATAGTGTTGAGTTTTGATTCAACCAAATAAATGTTTTCACAAGTCACTTTTTATGTTATTTTATTTTTAAACATATTTCAATAATTGATTAGAATACATTAAGTAAGTAAAAGTTTTAGTCATATACCTGTATTTATTTAGCTATTTATATTTCACGAAGTTGAGTGAAGTTTTCATAAAATATTTGATTGATTCATATAAGTTTGAAATCATTGAAATCATGCAAATGTCATAATTTATTACTAATAAACATTGAATTGGTAATTAAGCGAAGAGACATTTGTACTTATAATATATCTTAGATTAAACTTAAACTTGTTTAAAATTCAAGATTAGAATTTAAAAATAGTAAACTTTGTACACAAGTTGTAATTGCAAAAGCAATTAACAAAAATAACATAAAATATATTTGAAAATTTATTGTTGATTAGGAAATAGCAAGTACATCACAACTCACGCCATAATTCATGTTATATTCTGTGACTATCCGCCCGTTTATTACCATTATTCACAAAAACGAGTTAAACATTTACAACAATTTTGGTGTTTACTTTCCGAAAGTAAGCTATTGACTAATTAATATAAAAACAAATATTACAAATTTATGTCATCCGAATAAAAGTGCATTTAAATATAACAACAATAAAATGAATTCAAAAACTTTTACCTTATCCTTAAAGTGACACATTTTTCGGCCCAATTTGACGGATAGGTAACACAAAGCGTCAAACAAATCAATGTATAACTGGTCATTGAAACCATTTCTATTGTGATACATGTCTGGAAATGATGTAGCAAGAAAAAGTGGACAATTTACTGACAAAAAAGTAAATTTTGTGCACACATTGAGTGTCCAAAATAGACTGCGAATTGGGAGAAAACTTTCACCACTCCTGAAGTGATGTTAACTTTTTTCGTCATTAGATTTATGTGAGTATTATAAATATAACCGGTTTATGAACGATAAAATGAATATTTTTGTCATAAAACTGCAAAAACCTTTTCAATTTGAAAAACAATGAGATTATTGCTGTACTGTATAGTACTGTGTTGTATTTATAATGGGTTTGTCTGAACCGAGTAAACATTCAAATAAAATAACAATCAAATGATATGTACAGGTAGTCTGCAATTCAAAAGTCTGATTAAATAAAATCTTTTGAAAATCATAAGCATGTAAAAATGTTTTCAAATTATAACCATATTACTTTTACTATTGTTTAAAAATGATTTTTGTCACGTTTTAGCATTTAACATACCTAACTGTCTACCATACAGTGTATGTAGACTCTACCGAGTATTAGAAAATACCTGCATTAATAGTTGCAGATTAATAATACTATTGTATAATCCAATATTTAAAAAATTTAAATAAGGATAAGTTTGCTAATCTAACGATTTGCAATTTTATACATTAAATTTATTTTAAATAAATAGTTGGAAATTTTTATTTGCTTAAATTGACTTATTGTTTTGTTCAAGACTTATCATTACAATTCTGAAGTATTTATTATTATTGTTTGGTTAACATTATTGCTAATCTGAATTCTCTGTTAAATGATTATATTTACAATAACTACTTAATTTTTGTATTTTAATTTCAGGAATAAATTATTTTACAAAAATTATAACTCTTGTCGTATATATAAAACAACAATTATTTTTAACTTAGTGTAAATACAGCGCATATTAAGTAAATAACCATAAATTATTTAAATTGAAACCTCTTTTATACAAACAAATTGAATACCAAAAATGTATTTATATATTTATAACAAAAACAATACTGTATTATCCAGTTAAAAAATCATGTCAATTAAAATGGTTAATAAATCAGAAGAATTTAGTCCCCCAGGAGATGGTGTGCCAAATGCCGAGTAATACCAATACACCAAACAGTTTGTTCAGGTAATAGATTTTTCTCAGATTACTTCTGGCCTCTGGAAGTGTATTGTTATCCTCCTTCAAGATGTACTTCCGAGTGCCCAACACATAGTCTCCCCAATAGGTCGGCCAATGGATTGTGCGGATGTCGAAGTGAAATATCTATTCATTTGCATAGAAATTTGCATTAAGTTATGCTAAAAGTGTTTTTGTTGTGTTCATTCATTTGAATAAATATTGTTTTAAAACTTTATTATTGAGCTTATATTAGAGAGAAACACATTGTGTTTTTTTGTGGCTATTGTTTTGAATTCTTAATCAAATAGGAAATTGTATTTTGTATTTAAGGTGGAGTTTTTATCTAGGCTTATTTATTAACAATTAAAAAAGTAAAAGTAATAGCTAGTCTTTAAAGTTTTAAACAGGAATTCCCTTTATAGTAAAAGCAACTGTTTAAATATCGGTGTGTATTCATTTTCAAATGCTACTTTCACTATTACTTTATAAGTTTGAAATGAATGAATAATAATTTTTCTCTATTACTCATGGAGAAACAGCGCTGGGAACTCGACTAGCTATTCGTATTCATATAATAATAATCACTTAAAGGTGAGTACTCACCACTTGGTGAGCTCGTGTAACTGGCTGGCCACGTCAGGCTCGTAGATGCGGACCATAACCCGTTTGCGGCCCAACACTGTCATGAGTGTGTCAAAGAGGTGGGCGGGTATGATGTGGTCGAACACGGTTTGGAGGCGATTGAAGAATTGAGATTCTTTGAGATACAGACTCGGGTATCGGTAGATCTGGGCGCTCGGGTATTCAAGTATATACTTAAACATATCTGTCAGTTGTCCCCATTTGAAGTTATTGAGGGAACCGGACGTGCAGTTGTAGACGAGTATACCGTTCGGGCGTTGAGTAGCCGTAAACCACACGATGGCTATCATTAAGTTGATAACCGTGTCGACCGGTATGATGTCGGCGCTGGCTTTGGACTTGTGTTGCATAGACCTGAGTATGCCTTTGCCGGCGGCCACTATGAGACCCGTGGGTCCGTTCAGGTTGTCCACCCATCCGGGCATCGGCTCCTTCCACGACGACGTCACGATCGATGGCCGCACGATAGCCACCGGCAAACTGCCGCACTCCTCCACTAATAGGGTCTCGGCCATGGCTTTCGTGTAGGTGTAAGTGTTCGGCCGATCGCCCAGCAGTTTAGGTGTCATCTCATTCAGCATCTTCTCGTCCATCCATTCGCACAAATCGATGATCTTTTGCGGCGATACCGGCGACGGTATGTCGGAAAGCAGGTGAAGTATCGCCAATGTCAATCGTATTCGCCAGCTATGCACATAATTACGGAAAGGCAATAATCAAATTACTATTATATTAAAAAATTAAAGTTAATTAATATACAAAAAAATATTTCTTGCTTTTAGTGCATATAATAAATTACTATAAAATAAGAATTAATCTTTTAGTTTATTTTTAAGTTTATGTTCATTGTGTCAATATTATGGCTCATTATTCATTTGTACAGAATATAGTGTACACTACGGTATAGTGAACTACTTATTGGTAAAAAGTGGGAGATAAAGGGATATTATATTCAATATCGCCTTTTAAGGCATTTTTGTTTTAATTTTGGGGTTTTTATTTAATTAGTTCCTTGATTATAATAAAAAGGTTTTCCTTAAAAATGTTTTTAATAAAAACATATAAATTATACAAAATGTAACTTTGCTGTAGAAAATCAAGTCAAAGATCTCAAAACTCGTTAAGAAATAAAGTTATATATATTTACATAAATTTGCAGATTTTTTTCACAATAAGTTTCGCATTGAATGGAAATGTCATTAAAATGCTAGGAGTACTGCACTGCGAAAGGATTAAAAGTTTAATTTAGTTTATGATCTCAATTTGAATTTCAAAAACTAAAATCATTCAAAAAAATATGCTTGTGACCATTTGAAACAACAACTTTTCCTTAAATACAAACATTTCAAACAATTTTAACATTTATTATATCTTTTTTAATTTGAAATCAATATTTAGGGGGAAAATATTCAACGACTACTGCTGTGGAAAGCATTTAAATCTGTTATCTATGAATATAAATTGCTTTTAACGTTAAAGAGAACTAAATTTTAAAATAAAATATAAGTCAAACTTTTATAAAAAATAAAACTTAGTCGCGCCCAATATATCTAATTAGTAAATAGGTTTATAATTTGACATTTCATACATTAATCCCCTGTTAGAATAAAGTAGACATTTATATACAGGATAGTTTAAACCTAGATAATTATTTAGCGAGTAACTGAAAAAATGTAATATAAATTAAAATGAAGTAAAGAATTGAAAGAATAAATGAGAGAATGTATACAATACCACAATTTTGGGTAACTTATGGCACAACTCGATGAGTCTTCGGGTGCCCAACACATTGAAGTCGATGGAAGTCTTGAGCGGTTCATCAAACTTGACGGTCGCGGCCGAGTGGAAGACAATGGAGACGTCGCGGATCAGATGCGTGAGGTCTGTGTCGCAAATGCCTAAACCGGGTCGAGTGATGTCTCCCTCGACGGCCACCACTTTATTGAGGGCTTTGGGATGAGACTCTCGAATATTATCGAAACAACGGACCTGTAGGAGCTCGTGGAGTCGGGTGCGCACATCCATGCCCTTCTTGGGCCGCAGCAATATATAGATGTGATTGATGTTGGCGCACGACCGGAGAAGCTTCTCGACCAGAACTTTGCCCATAAAACCGGTGGCGCCCGTAATGAACACACTCTGGCCGCTGTAAAACTCGCCGATCTCGGACTCACTCTCCGTATCCATGGTTTGGGTTTAAAAATAAGTTATTATTAGTTTAATATTTGCTGAATGAGACGAGAAAGTGCTTTTCCTGTCCCGATATACTAGTATACTGTTTGTGAATTGCATTCAAAACTTTCTCTTTTCCTGATATCAATCAGAAGGCATTCATTTCTTGTGGCCACCGCTTATAATACAGGCGCTAAACAGCTGTTTATCGACACGAAAATCAGAATTGAATTGAAAGTAAAAACTGTATCACAAGAACACATGATTTGTATGAATACGAGTGTACAGTGTATGCCATCATGTAATCAAGTGATGCTTTAAGAGATTGTTTGGTAAGTACTTGAAGAATGTGTTCCACTTATGATATAACAGGTATAATACTGTACCTGTAATACTGTACCTGTTCGAGTACATGTTCTCATTTTCCCCTAATATTTATAACTTATAAATACTGAGTATTTCAGACAAATTTCTCTTTCATTATACAGTACATTATCGCTTCCATGAACTCATTGGGCTCTAAATGGACATTATAGTCGTCTGTCCATAATGAGAATTACGATCAATTACCTGGTCCAATTCTATGTTAGTTTGCTTATCAACTTTTTTTATTTATGGCAAAACTTAATTACTTATAATGATTTGATAAATTGAAATGTTATTTCATACTAGTTGGGATTCCCTAATGTGTACAATAATAATGGTTCACTAAACTCCAAATGTTGTATCAATTGATGCAAATGTTGTGTCTGATTGAAATAACAGTAATCATTGTCCACATAACCGAATATGTACTGTATATCCAAAAAGCAGTTTCTGTATTCAATTGAATACTAACAAAAAGTACTCTCTATTTGAGAGCCTTTAGGCTTTATTTTTCATGAATTATTATCACTAACTCTACGTCAGGTACTGTTGGTATTCACCAAAACTTTTCGTCCCAATTAATGTTGCAATAAATACCTGTCCGTATGAATAGTGAATAAATACCTGTTTATTGCTTTACAGGTAATGTTGTATTGATTTTCTAAATAACGGAAATCATTAATTAAAAAACAAAAAATAATTATTAAATTAAACCAAAAGTTTTTATTTTGCTTTTTCGTTTGCAATACATTTGATAATATGCATACAATTATTAAATAAAGTTCATTTTAATCAGGCAAAAATTGGGCTAAATTATCCATTTGATTGCAATTTAATACATACTTAATATGCGAATAAACATCGAGTTTAAGAAATTTAAAAATAAAAAAAAACAAAACAATAAAAATATATATTATATGATGAATAAAAAAGATTTTACGTTCAATTAATTTTCAAAAACACAATTATTAATGCATTTTCCAAGTACTGTATTATATATAATATGGACAGTGAAAGTGATGCTCTATTTTATTTTATTTTATTATTTAAAATCTATATATTACAACTGCGAAATCCAGTTCACGATTGTCTCGATAAGTTTATAGTGAATGTAGAAATTATACCAAATACAACTTAAATTAAATAAATGGTAAACACTTAGTGTCGTATAATGTATTAATAGACCAGTGGTACAGTGCAAGAATTGCATAATATTATATTAACGATGCCTTACATTCACATGCATTTAACATGTCAAATTCATACATTAAATAAGTTGTAAGTCAAAAGTAAATATAATTTTATTGTTAATTGAATTTTTAATTAATAATTAAAATATAAATTATTAAATCAGTCATTATGTTAAAACTTTAATCCCCTAATATAAAAAGTCTCGAAAGTGAAAACATTGAATTAATAGCTTAACAATGAATTAAATTTCCGGTTTTATGTTTAGCACTGCATTACCGCTAATCATACGATGGTTTGAGGTCACAAATACAACTCTGCCTACTCTACTGCCATCACTCACTATTTCTCTGTCAACCTGTTTATCATAACTTAAATTATACTCAATATTCAAACTTAGGTTTATGATNCACTGCATTACCGCTAATCATACGATGGTTTGAGGTCACAAATACAACTCTGCCTACTCTACTGCCATCACTCACTATTTCTCTGTCATGGACAAATAGTATTGAATTTAATATGAGTTATAAGTTTGAATCCAAATACTAGTCCATGTGATTAATTATAAATCTATTTAGAATTTTGATTATTATTTTATACCTAATATAGATATCATAACAATTCCATTTAATATAATATAAAACGATTCAAGTTTTATAAAACAAAATCTTAGGTGAACAACAAATATATTATAGAAATAACTTACAAATATTACACTAAAATCTTTATTTTATTACCGAAATTTATAAAAAGATTATTTTACAATTAATATAATTGTTTATATAAATTAGTGTAGATTACTGTATAACAAAATACTATAAAATAATTAATTACATAAAATCAACAAAATTGACAAGAACAACTAATTGAAATATTTAAACAAATGTTTTTGACAAACGATAAAAACGATGGCCACAAATATTTTGTAACAATTATTGGCTGTATTATCAAAAGCATGTGAGACATCATATCCAGAGTCGGCCCATCGGATGGTTGTCTTCTTCTTCTCCTCGACATAATTATTGCGATTATTGTTATCATTATTATTACTATTAGTGTCGTCGCCCTTACTGTCCTCACACCTGTCCTTCCAATAGCGGCCCTTAATTCTGTCCAATTGTCCGCTTTTCTTGAGGCGTCTGATCGCGTGATCAAATTTATTCAAATAACTCGAGTCCTTAGGCAGGGCTATGGCGTACTGACGGGGAAAGTAGTTATTTCTGTCCACAATGAAAGTCAGATCGCAATACATTCCGCTCAGAAACTCAGCGAAACTGGACTCCACTAAAAAGGCAAACCGACTGCCATTCACTTTATCGACCCCATCTTTGGCGTTATTAACCATATCATCGGGATGTCGTGTCATATGGGTATACATGCGACGGATGGTCGGGTCGTTTGACTCCGAGAACAGGTTATAAGTGGAGCCCATTTTGTAAGTGCCGTATTTGATGTCAGAATCGGCCAAATCCTTAAAGGAATGGATATTTTTGGCATTTTTCTTGTTTATAAGGATTGCAATCGAGTTCTCCATAAAGGGTTCCGTGAAGTCCACGAATTTCTTGCGGGCGTCGCTCACTGTTATGTCCGCCACCGCAAAGTCAGCTCTCTATACACACATTTGGTTTATATTTATTTATATTAATGTATAGCGGCCCTTAATTCTGTCCAATTGTCCGCTTTTCTTGAGGCGTCTGATCGCGTGATCAAATTTATTCAAATAACTCGAGTCCTTAGGCAGGGCTATGGCGTACTGACGGGGAAAGTAGTTATTTGTGTCGACAATGAAAGTCAGATCGCAATACATTCCGGTCAGAAACTCAGCGAAACTGGACTCCACTAAAAAGGCAAACCGACTGCCATTCACTTTATCGACACCTTCTTTGGCGTTATTGACCAGATCTTCGGGATGTCGTGTCATATGGGTATACATGCGACGGATGGTCGGGTCGTTTGACTCCGAGAACAGGTTATAAGTGGAGCCCATTTTGTAAGTGCCGTATTTGATGTCAGAATCGGCCAAATCCTTGAAGGAATGGATATTTTTGATATTTTTCTTGTTTATAAGGATTGCGTAGCTCAAGAGGTATTTCCCAAGGCACTTCAGGTGCTTAAAGAACGCCCGCAGCGAGTGACAATACAGGCGGTGGCGTTTCAGTCGAGAGATATGTGTGTAAACCAAATATAAATAAATATAATTACAGTATTGTATCAAATATATACCCCGCTATACACTTCGCCAATCATTCCGTTCACTTTGTTATCCCGGACCACACCGTAAGCCCCGTCGGGAGAGAAATACAGCCGATATTCAAAGCCCACGATATCCGCGATTTCATTCATTAAGTCGATGGCATAGCCTTCATATTTGCCACTCAGACGGTCAGCATAGGGCCAGTTCTGCACAAATATATATCAAATTAATATTTTAGTAATTTTATCTTAAATATTCACAGGAGATTCTGGATAATTTTATCATTTTTGATAATATTCTTAATTAACAACACATGGCATAATAGTGTAAAGTTTACACTGTTAATTACGAGGAACATTAAAAGTATAAATTTAAAACTTTTAATTCTATAATTGACATTATATACGATATTAAATAATTATGAAAGTTATGTAATCCATTTAAAATACTTAATTTGTTAAATATTTAATATTATTTGTTTTCTTTTAATATTATGAATAAATTATAATTTGTGTTTAACTATAAATGACTCATTGACTGTTAGAAAATTGTTTAATAATCAATGTTTATGAAACTCATGAATTAAATATTAGGATTTTAAAAATATTTTTATTTTTAAATTCCAATTCCATTAATATTATAAAATTGATACCTTATTGTGAAATTCATGTAATCCTAATCAATTCATTAATAATTCTTTTCAGTTCATTGGCATAAAATTAAATAATTTTTATCGAATATCAATAGTAAAAGTATATAAATATCTTGTGAAATACTCACTGAATAATGAATTATGTATTCAAAAAAAAATATTTCAAAAATATTTAAATACAGTATTACACAAAATATTTGTTATCTTTTGGCACCGGAATTATATTGAAATCGTTTGTCATTATACTGTATGACTAACAGAGACGTAAATATTTGTAAATAATGTAATAAAGGGTAACTATCTTAGATACAAGCATCCAAGGCCTTAATCACTGCCCACACAAATAATTTATTGATGAATGGCTAACCGTTTGTTAATTAAATTTCTTTGTCTCCATAAATGCTTTAAATGCACATGGAGATTATTAAATTATTTTTACTTTTAAATCGATCACAGTATTTATTTACATTTAATACATTTGTCACAATGTTTTACAATATACAAATTATGTAATATTTTAAATTTGAAACATTTTTAAAAGGATGTTTAAAACTAAAATTATAATTATTAGTTACAAGCCTTAGAATTAGAATTAATGTGAATTTGCCTATACAATGTTTTACAATATACAAATTATGTAATATTTTAAATTTGAAACATTTTTAAAAGGATGTTTAAAACTAAAATTATAATTATTAGTTACAAGCCTTAGAATTAGAATTAATGTGAATTTGCCTATTATGTTTAATTACTATACTATTTGCATATTTGTGTCATAATATGTGCAACATAACACTTATAAGTACTACAATTTGCATTAACGTTTAGCTTTGATTAATAAACTTATAGTTATATGAATATAAGAATATACTACAAATACCGTATATCATTAAAAACATTTAAAAAACCAATATAAACAAATAATATTAACTAAAGTAATATTAATAATAGGTATTTTGTTAATTATATACTTTTCTATAGATATACTGATTTAATTCTAAAGTTTTAATTATAAATTTTTAATTAATAAATAAATTATTGATAAAACATAACTTAGTAACAAAACGAAATGTTTAGAAATATTAGAATTAAATTTACGGCAAAATAAAATTGTTGATTAATTAGTTATCATAATAATCATATAAATTTCTTTGATTAATAAATTAAATAATTGTAATTATGTTTTAAAATAACTTACCCTGATCGTAACTCCTTTAAGAATTTCTGCCTGAGTTTCACCCGCATTATAGCCGTTAATAATGAATGCGATTAAAACCGATAATATAATTACTAAATCCATAATTTGTTTAAAAGTGTGTATTAAACGACGACACCTTCACTACATGTGACACTACGAGTGGTGTGACTTTGAAACTAAAGAGATGCCAACAATTATTATATGAAAAATATGAAGAATATAAAAAAGAGTAAGAATTCGCTATTAAAGTGAAGTTTTCTATCCAAAAGTGAAATCAAATGATGTAAAAACTAGTTTTCAGTTCATTTCTTACTACACAAACTTCAAGCCATTTGTCTGACGAGTAATAATGTAGGCGATAGTGACTTACCCTTGAATTCTCTGAGACTATCCCTTTCAATACGAATGCCTTCTAATCATATTCAACCACTTTATGTGCATTTTCTGCACAAATTTTCTGATCACTAAATGTCTTCATTACAAATAGTTTGGCTTAAAATGAGGTATATTTGTCGTTGCTTTCAAAAACAGACCTTGAAGATGTTTAAAAATAGTTTATAATAGATAAACATATAACTTATATAATTTATAACTAATCACCTTAAATATTTGATATCTTATAACTTTTCCAAACATTTGTAGAAAATAAAATATATTTAGAAAACAAAAGCTTTTACTAATATTTGTCAATTGTTAATTAAACATTTGAATTATGTTTAATAAATATTTCATGTGAATTGGATATAATGTAATTGATATCTAAATACAAGGATTGTTTGAATATCTTTTAGATTATTGACATATGAAAACTATTATAATTATCTATTATTAAAGTCTAAAAATTTAATAAATGGTCAAAGACTTTAATATTAAAGTCTGTAATTGTGAAAAAATATTTAATTCCCAACTTTGCTAATCAATTCAATTGAATACAGAAACTGCTTTTTGGATATACAGTACATATTCGGTTATGTGGACAATGATTACTGTTATTTCAATCAGACACAACATTTGCATCAATTGATACAACATTTGGAGTTTAGTGAACTATTATTGTGTACACATTAGGCAATCCCAACTAGTATGAAATAACATTTTAATTTATCAAATCATTATAAGTAATTAAGTTTTGCCATAAATAAAAAAAAGTTGATAAGCAAACTAACATAGAATTGGACCAGGTAATTGATCGTAATTCTCATTATGGACAGACGACTATAATGTCCATTTAGAGCCCAATGAGTTCATGGAAGCGATAGTGTACTGTATAATGAAAGAGAAATTTGTCTGAAATACTCAGTATTTATAAGTTATAAATATTAGGGGAAAATGAGAACATGTACTCGAACAGGTACAGTATTATACCTGTTATATCATAAGTGGAACACATTCTTCAAGTACTTACCAAACAATCTCTTAAAGCATCACTTGATTACATGATGGCATACACTGTACACTCGTATTCATACAAATC